AAAAGGAGGGATGAAGGTTTTGATTAAAAAAATTGAGCTTGATTTTATTGAAGAAATGTCGAGAAAAAGTTATGTATTTTACTTTTGCATTTGATAAAAGTAATGTTCGAGGTTTTATTTTACGTCGTGATGTCAATGATAAAATTTGTCGCACGTTAATGCGAATACTTTGGATATTTTCTCTTAATAATTTTTGTCTACTTTTTTTCTACTTCACTTTCACCTTTTATAAATACGATAATAGGCGGCATTTACCATTGAACATAAAAAATAAGTTGTATTTTTTTTTCCTACAATTTTATTTAGTATCGAATTTAGTATGCCTTATGGTTTAAAGTTTTCTACGTTGTTTCTAAAATCAAATATAAATTGAACAATCGAATGTAGTAAATGAAAATCTTTGTCTCGAGAGTAGACAAATAGTATGAGAATTAAATACTTTCTATTGAATACACACTACTTTTATGTTATTTTATTTTATGGAAGACTATAATAAAACGAATGACAGTTATAAAAAACGGCTTTATACAATGACATAATTTATGATAATTATAATTAGACAATTTACATCCATTTTATTGTATAATATTAAATGTTTTATATGATTACATATATATATACAGAAATTATTAACATGACCATTTTGAAGCAACGAGAACAGAAGCTTTTGTTTTTAAGTAGTTTTAATTTTCATGTAAATTTTCTCGAATATTCTGACACAATTATTATAAGACAAGTGCAAAGCATATTTAAAATTATGCAAATACTCTATCTATTCGCTAAATTTTATCGTACATTGCGTAATAGCTATCACGTATCATGTAAAAAATAATTGCTATTGATATCATAAAAGTAAAATAAAATGTTCGACAATCATGTATACCGTGACGTATATTTAATAAAGCAGTATAAATTTATCATATGCCGTGTAATGAATAATTTCAACTATATGCAAGAAAATATGCACATAGAAGGCAAAAAAAACTTGTGTAAAAGTATTTATAAATAATCGACTATACTTTATTTAAATTGCTTATTATTTTATATTAATAATGCTAATTATTGCAAGTGCAGGTAAATCAGTATATTACTCGATCTTTCAAGCTTATAGGACGCTTAATCGTTTCAAATACTTTTTTTTCATCTTGTAACTAAGCGTCCAATAATGTCGGATTTGAATGGAAATGAAATACAGCTCGCGATGTAGAATCATATACAATGATACGAACCATTGATTTTAATTTTACACTTTTGATTATAAATTATTGTTAAATACGAGATCAATGAGTCGATGAGGCCTCTAGCCGTAAGAATGAATATGTAGGCGTAAGAAAATTAATATGAAATAACTGTGGATGACCACTAGAGTACATAATCCCAATATACGATTAAGAGAAAAAATGTAAGTCTGCTTAGAGATGAATGAATAAATAAATCATTTATTAGGCATTCATTTTTTCACTTTCACATATCATGTCATACGTAGATTGAAAGATATATAGGTGGGTGGACAGGTAGGTAGGTAGGTAGGTAGATAGATAGATAGATAGATAGATGGATAGATAGATAGATAGATAGATAGATAGATAGAGAGAGAGAGAGAGAGAGAGAGAGAGAGAGAGAGAGAGAGAGAGAGAGAGAGAGAGTTATATAAGAATAAAAAAATGTATATGTATTGGACAAAAATAAAAGATTCTTGTGGAGTATTTATAATAACATACATTTAGATTTATCGACGTAGAGCATAAGCGAGGGACAAAGTTTTAAAGACTAAGAGGACATTTTTAAGCTTGTTACGATGTACACGTTTTACAACTATCATAAATTTACGGATTAATGGATTTATTGTATTTGCCAAAGTTGAAAATAGAATTTCGATAAGGGCTGAGACAATTACGTTTATATTATATTGTGAGTTACTCTGTCTTTTGAGCTTTGAATTTCTTTTACTAATTTGCATAGAGCGGAGTAATTCACTTAACACTTTGCACGGGTCGAGCAGTAGCAGCATTATTTTTATTCATTGTTAAACCACGCGGAACTAAATTCAATCATGCTTATCTCCTTTATTGTTAACAACTATTTTTATAATTTAAAGCCCTTGTATTATTATATCGTGATAGTCTATACGATCCTTAAGAATTCTTTATCTTAGCTCACGCGTCTAATAAATTTTCTAACTCGTTATTAATAAACTTGTCCATTAAAAGAAAAAAGAAAAAATAAAAAAGAGAATAATAATAATAATAATAATAATAATAATAATAATAATAATAATAATAATAATAATAATAATTTAACACCCAGCTCGATAAATCATCTCGTACACTCCTAGTATTACCCTACTTAATTCTTACCAACGACGTTACTCTACACTATGTCCATGTACTAAATAATACGTGCCAGGCTAATTTGCCTGCGTAATAAGTCACCACTCAAGTTAGTTAAAAGCTTTTAAATTTTCTTTATTTATTAAGATATATATATATATATAATAATAATAATAATAATAATAATAATAATAATAAGCTGATTATAATTAATATTGTGTCCGCGTGTTTGAGTTGCTTTCTTTTTCTAAATTGGTCGATGTTATTCTTTCATCAGCAGTGCCGCCAAGCAAATGTCATCGCGGTTAAGGCGTTTCATTACTTACCATCGCTTACACCGTCGGCTAATTATGCTCCTCTTCCCTTCAAACGAATTAATATAACATTTTCATTAAAAAAATTAACCATACATCGTGATAGACAAGACTTTTAAAATTATGAATAGATAAAGGTTTCATTGACTAATTAACATCATAAGTGAAACTTTTGATTTGAAGCCCCGTCACTCGCTCCGAGATTAGAAAAGTCTTAGAAAAGTTTTCGTTTTTACGACTTGAAAGTTTCTACGTCAATTCAATATTCAAATGGTAAGATCGTGAGCATAGAACATTCATTATAAAGACGTTATTATAAAAAAAATTATTATCAATTTTATTTTCTTAGGTTCTCGAGCCAAAGCCTCGAGTTATTCTCACATTTGATTTTATACACATTTCATACACATGTTTTAAATATAAAAATTTAATTCTAAATACAACTTGAAGCTTGAGAAATTTAATCTATACGAGCCATTATTCATGTTAATGCTATGTATGCTATAAAAAAGCTAGTAGACCATATATTTAGATTATTTTGCTCGGACAATTTGATGGATAATATTGATTTTTATAATACTACTTATTGTAGATGTATTGATAATATTGATATTTATAGGCATTATATTTATGCAAACTCATTTCATAAATATATTATATATATATATATATATATATATATATACATATATATATATCGATAGAGATATATTGTTGAGAAAATTCCATTTTTACCTAAACAGTTTGTCAGCATACTTTGGACGTTTTCTATATTTGCAATAACTAAATCGATTCTAAACATGTGCACGCTTTCACATATATATTACATAAATTTCATCCTATTAAATCTATTTTATACTTTATCATTCAAGATAATACCGAGATATAAGATAATATTGCTACAATGTACTGAAGAAATAATATTGATGTATTAGCCCTACATCTTTGGACTTTATATTTCGCGACACGAAGCATTCCTGTACACGATTTTCATGTTTAAAATAAAGTGTATAAAAATGATTATATTTAATAAAAGCATAATGTTTCTATGATAAATCTAAACTTTGACTTTATGGTAGAAAAGATTGGATGGAAAATCAATAAGTATCAATGTGATTCTTCATAATAAATGGATATGAAAGGAATTTAGTGGTACATACATTTTGACGGACTTTTTTTTTTTTTTATTTTTTTTAATGCTTTTTGTTGTTTTAATTTCCTTTGGTCATAAAATGATTGAAAACATTTTTCTTCACAAGTTACATACAAGATATATTTAACGAGCTTCTCTTGTAAATCGAATATATTGTACACGACAAACATTCTTTTTTCTACCTTTACAGTACATATTACTACACATGAGTTCATTTTCAAAATTTGGTTTGAAATACGCTTGAAGAGAAATCGCTGGGATTAAAGTTATAAAGGAGATGGGCCATTCTAGTTAAAAGAGCCGTGCATCGTGCACTGTCAATATTTATTATTTATACTTGGTGAGCATTTTTTTACAAATTGTATTATTATAAAGTATTTAGGCAACATTTAAAATAAAGCACAAACAAAAATCATGGTTTCCTCTCTCAACTGTAAACAAAAAAGTAAACGAGCATATTTATATGATAGCAATTGCTATATACCTATTATGCCTTTATAAACGGCGTTTAAAATACAATTTTGTCAAATTTTCAATTCGAGCGGGAACTTGCTCTAATCGACGACACG